TACCGACTCGCCCAAGGTTCAAAGCCTTGTCGTCGCCGCTAAAGCTCTTTCTCGTACAAGAATTCGAATCCTTCGTCAGACGGCCCTCTTACCTTTGAGTAACCGCATACCGTCCGCAGGCAGTCGCACAACGAAAAGAATTTGCAAGACACATGGCTACAGGCAATCTGAAGCTACAAATGAATTAGTCACGAAAACATTGTTGCAAAATTAACGGGTGAAATATTTATTTAAGTACTGATCTCTAATTTTACTTCAATCAATTTTATTTTTGCAAAAATAATAAATCAGTCTCATAAATATCATTATGTCTATTTAAATTAAATTCCTGGATATAATTACGTCGTACTTAAAGCAAGAATATCGGAGTGATAATTCACTCGATTCGTTATTTTAACATGTTTATTTGTTACTGATTTATATTAACATACCTTTTGCTCAAAATTGATGATATTCACTAAATTAAATTTTAATATATAAAATCTTATTCAAATACGTATCGAAATTAATATTATATTTGATAAATAAATATTATTCAAAAAATTCTTAATCAATCGCATTTACTGATGCATGCACTTTGCAATTCAAGCTTTCTCTCCACAAAAGTTTCGAAAAGTGTATTCATTTTACGTAATACTTGAGCCTCAGCTTTTCACTCAATTTCTCACCTTTCTCTCGACTAAATTATTTTCGCGCGTTCGCCCTTTCTGAAGCTAACGCGAGTCGACATAGCCCCCGTTCCTATTCTTTTTCCTCTCGCATATCTTGACGTCCGCAAAGGCGACGTGACGCGTCCCAGGTGAGAACATCAGCCCAGGGAAAAAGAAGCAGGCGAAGAATAAGGGACAAGGATGAAGGGTGTCCGGTACCGGGTAGGCGACATAACACGCGTGACTCGTCGAGAATCACGCAGCACGCGCAGGTACGCGGCTCGCGGCTAAATGAAATTTTAATAAAGCTGCGCCGGGGAGCCGCGCAGGGTGGAGGGACGCGATCTTCACAATGGAACAATGGCTACGAAATCGTCCGAAGGCGTCGGCGCGCTTCTTCCGAACTCGAGCCAGCCGCGCCGCGATAATTATATCGAGGCGGCGGCACGGCGGAATCTCGGCAGAAAAACTTGTCTTCGGCCCTTAAGGGACCGGGGGAGTCCCCAGAACGCCTCACGCCGTTCGCAGTCGCCTAACTAAAGGCGAATTTACACGGTTCGCTCCCGATGATTACCCCGGATGAATCATCCAAAATAAATTGGATGAACGCGTTTTTGTTCGAGTGTACCGCGCTAAAAGTGGGCTACCCGATTCGCGGCCGATCCGACGCGGGCGTTCGTTGCTTCTTAAAAATTTCAACGTGAGAAAGAATGAGCCGACATCGGGGGTACAATTTGCGTACAATAACTCAATTATATATCATCCTTGAAGAGTAAACATACTATACGAATATGCATGTAGACGCGTCAAGTTTGTACATCTCTCTCTCTCTCTCTCTCTCTCTCTCTCTCTCTCCACTATAAACTCTCAGTTTACGATTGTAAGCTGTTGGTTTCCTAAACTCTCTCAGCTTTCTGAGTTCTCAACTCCCAACTTTCAACTTTCCTCCCGCGTTTCATAACCCACAATTTCTCACGTCGAACACGCGGTACTCACGATTTGTATCATTATTGCACGTGATCAGTCCGAATGCAATAAAGGGGATTAATTGTAAAATCGTTATATCGCGCGTGAAACACGGATTGCGTTAGACTAATTTGCTTCTACAAATCGAATCAAACAAAAAGCGGAATAAAACTCCACAGCTTGCTTTATTTTGCATTATTTAATCTAGTTTGATCGTTCAAACTGGCTAAAAAACGGCCGACTCTTTTATTATTCAACAATTTTTTGTTTAACCCTTCTGTCAATGCATGAATACTCGAGTACCTATATTGAATTTTAAACACTAAAAATTTTTATATTTTTCTATGAATTTCGTTATGACTCCTCGAACTGCTCTTTGAACGAAGGAACAATTTTGCACGGATTTATCTCATTTTCACTCTTACATTTTTAATTGGAACTTTGTAAAACATGAAAGTGGAAAGGGGTGAAAAATTAAATTTGATGAAAGGGTTTAGTAATGGTTACTCGAGTCATTTTACTTTCCCTTTTTCAATGATTTTGATCAACATCGTCAGAGATTTACGTGTAAATTCGCCTTAAACTTTTGCCTTCGTTCTCGCCCTTTGTCTCCCTTGTGACGGGAGCTCGCAGCGTCTCGGTTCGACGATCGTCGCGAACGAGAAACTCGATCGGCGAGGGAAAAGGGCGAAGCAGGCGCGACGCCGCTGGTTTTTGTCGGCAACAGCCGTTTCTTTGTAAGACGATAGAATGGCATTCTAATATCGACATCGCGCAAGAAGTCGGTGCGCGCGTACAATAAAAAGGCCCGATGGTATTCGGAACAAAAGCGACCGAGCGTGTTAGATAATTAGCAAAAATTTAAAGTCACCGCTATGATTATTCAGCATTTTCTGGTTATTCATCGGTTATTTTCTTTAATATCAAAAATATGAGAGTAAAATATCTAAAGCCCAACGTCACACTATAACATTGGAGGTTGAGGATTGCGAATTGAAGGTCAGAATTAAGCCAATCAGGACGAAACGGATTAAAAATAAAATTATCTAGTCGAATTCTAATCTCTAATTCGCAATCTTCAGTCTCCAATGCGTAGTGTGACACGGGCTTAAATATAATTCGAATCCAAATAAAAATTAAAGTAAAAATTGTGACTTTACAAGTTAAAAAGAGTGTGAACATTTCATAAGTTTTAGTATAAAATGAAACAGTCAGGATGACAAAAAATTGGATCTCAAAGTTTTGTGTTTATCTTATTAGTAATGTATATTTACAAAAACAAATTCTGGAGTGTCAAGTTATTATATTATTGAATGTCAAAAATAATAATTAACACTCAAAATGACTATCTCTTGTTTCGATAATTTTTAGAAGCTTTAATAATTGCGAATCTTTTTATCGATAAATTTTCTCAAGCAGCCAATTGAGCGGACTTCAGTTCATCAATCGATGAAACTTTTTGGTATACTTTTTTTTATATTATAATAAAATACAAGTAACACTCTAGAGTTTGTTTTTTAAATAGACCTTACTATAAATGATTTAACAAACACACAAAACTTTGTAGTCAAACTTTTTGCCATCCTGTATACAATAATCAAGTATACAAATAGTTGTATTATATATAAAAAAATTAAAAATTAATAATAAGAATATGTTTAATTGAATATCTTTCATGAGAGTTCATTATTTCGTCGATCGTTATCACAATCCCCGCCTGCTTTTTAAGTAGGGTAAAATATTAATTTTACTAAAACCGTAGTCGATATTACGTGACTTATCTGTTCAATCTCATTATCCGGATTTATGGTACAATGGAAGCGTATAAGTTCTTCAAAGCATCTTGCCTTTCTAGAATCTCTAGTTGAGCATATCTTAAACATAGTACGCAGCCTCATAAAATAGCAGCTATAATAAGTTCGTGAATATTTTCATAGTGTCGATAGTGCTGCCTTCCGGCTTTTTCTTCGGCAGCGTTTCGTTGTATTAAGTTTTGCACGATAATATGTCGGCATAAACTTTTGCAGTATAAAAGGCTGCATGTAAGTGCGAATTTTATCCAACTAGAAAGATTTTCAATCAATATAATAAATTAAGGTAAAGACTAAATGAATCATTCAATGAAAAAAAAAAATAAAAATAAAAATCGAAGCGTAGTAAGATAAGTGTCCACGATATAAATCAGAAAAAAAAATAGATAGTGAGCAGCAAACATTTTATATAGGTTTATCACCTAGTCACTCAGCTGACAAGAAAGAAAAGCCGTTGGCGCTATAATTTTCGTGATATCGAGGTAATATGAATTTTATGTATCAATTATCAAGAAGAACTTGACTTGAATGCCAAGTTAGCAGGCTTTGCCAGGCTTGTAGTACTAGTCGCACTGGTGAAAAACGGAGTGAATTAGCGAGGAAAGAAAAAAACATACGTCGCCGGCGGGCCGAGCAATAAATTCGTATTTCACGCGAGATCGCAAGAGCGTTGCCAGTTCACGATGTCGGCTAACTGTAAATGCAAGTGGTCACGCATGGGAAAGCGTTTGTCGGTCCCACGATCGTCGTCGTTACGAGGATCGATTATTATTACAAGAGATGTATCCAATTTCGCGTCATTCGCGCGCAAAACCGAGCGAGATGGCTGTAAAGGCGTGCGCGCGCTTGCGGATATTATCGGGCAAATTATGGTGCAGGGTCCATTCATTTACGTACGAAGTCAATGACCAATCAGTTGTTAACTGCTAACGGTAACGAGCCGGCATCGCGGATAAATTTGAAACGAGTAGGACAGGCTAAGTACATACCGGTGATGCGTCTCTGCACATTGGCCGATGCTTGTCGACGAGCGCCTAGCTCGTTAGAGAAAAAGCTGCCTTCCTCATTCGCACACGTCTAGAATTGAAAGATGACCCCCGCTGCAAGTGTCGATGGGCCGCATTCATGTCATGATTCGTTAAGTAACGGTTTAATATCCCGTATGCAGCGCGTCATCTGATATTAGAATATTCGCTGAATATTCATCGAATAAATGTGAAGCAATATTAATCTATTCGTTATGAAGTTCCAATATTGGAACATCCGATATTGTCGATACTTTCTCGTAGTAAAAACTCGAGAATTACTGACGGCGTATTTTTATATTTTTCTCATTTTGCTCACAGAAATGTTAAAAAAAATTTATATTCAACGATAAAAAGTTGAGGGCACAACTTTTTTTTCCGGTCTCGAATTTCTTCTTCTTGACGTGTAACCCTTTCACCGCGACGATCTCAACTTTTCGGGGAGAAGAAAAGTGTCGCGAGTACGTGCAGAGAGTCTCGACAATGCATGGTACTTTATGGTATACAGTTGGCACGGATTTTAACATTAAGTCGTCGCTTGTTTCCAGGACCGGCACGTGAAGGACGCCAGCAGAGATCCGCAGATGGATTCGAGCCAGGACTACCGACTTTTACTGGGTTACGAGAACAAGACGCACACAGTGCTTCGCTTCAGTAGACGATACGACACATGCGACCCGCGGGACCTGAAGATCACGGTAAGTGATGCGATTTATGCAACTCTGAAAGGTGGAACGCAGGACAATTTCCTGCGGAGTCTACACAAAAGCACGCGAGATTTACTTAGCGCGCTTATCTTACACTAGTTTCATCAAGGTAAAGGCGTTTATATCGTGTAGAAAAAGATTAATGAGATTTACTTTATAGGCAGGATTATAGTTTTTTTTTAATTTACTTGTACAGAACGATTTTGCTAAAGTATCTAAAAATATGATAGACAAGTATAACATAAATTGAACTTACAGACAGGATTATATAATTTAAAAAAATTTACTTATACAGAAAAGAGCGATTTTGCTGAAGTATCTAAAAATTTAAATACATACCTGAAAATAATTGTGCTGGACATCCAAATATAATTAAATGAGCAATGTTGCAAGAAATTTTGACATTTCAGCAAAGCTCGGGCGTCCTCCATAATTAATTTAATGTCCAAAATTATTTTTACATTTTTAGATAAATTTTTAGATAAATTTTTAGATAGTTTATTTCAAAAAACCATTCTTTCCGTAGATGAGTAGATTTTATACCAGTTATCTTCATTAACATAAATAGACTCAGCTTACCGGAATGTTTATGTCCAGTCTACCATTTTAACTGGTAAAGGTAAATAGAATTTCGTTTATCTATTCGGAAAAGTAGATTTCTAGTTTCGGTCTTATTTATGTTTTTACACATTAAAACGGAAAATGTTCTCGTTACCCTAATTAATACAAATGTCCGTGCATACACAAACGTAATTTTTTTCTCATAAAGACTTAAACTTGGAATTAGTTGAAAAAAAAATTATACTCGCTAGTTTCAAAGCGTACACATGTAAAAATATTAAATACAAAAGTATGGGTTAATTACCGCATTTAATTACATATATTACATCCACGGTCATAAAAAATGTTTTTACGCTCTGAATCTGGACTCGAATTAAATTCGGCGGCTCGTTATCGCAATTTTCCTGCGCGATATTCTGTACTCATTGTAGGACAGCCCGACCTACTTCTTTATTTCGCCGGTAATTAACTTGGAAATAGATTGTGCGATAGAACCGTGCTCGTTGCTCGAAGGTGCTTGGCACAGATTTAACAAAAAGAAAAAAATTACGCCAGTGTTACGATCTGTTTCAAGTAACGCAACATGAAATTTATAGCGACCGATGCGGTCATGAAGACCTAAACTCTGAACTGTCTCATAGCGCCATCGATACGCAGTTATGTTTCTCGATAAATCGCGATCCGCAAAATAAAGCTCTCTTTTAAAAGGTTAGTTAGAAGTAATATACAGTTAATGCACAACTTGCAATTGGCACTTCTCGCTTGTTTTTTCGCTTTCTTAGATTTGCCGTCTTGTAAGTTTTCAAGAAGGACAAGAAGAAGCGATAAAATTGTATTTTTGTGACCTATTCACTCGACGTGGACAGAAATGCGCAGTTTCTTGTAAAAATCGTACATCTTCAATCTTAAGTTTGTAATCGGGTGTCTTTAAGTTATTAAGTGAAACTGCAGATCTCTGAGATGGAAATTTTATTGCGTTGTTGCGTAATTCTATCGTTTAGAGTGTTACTGCTTTTGAGTTTCGCATGGATTCGTTCTAGTATGAAATCTCTTTGTACACCTGATGCTTTCAGAAAAGTACAATAAAAATATTGGTTTTGTGTAACAGGTATATTGTTTGTTTTCAATATAAGGAAAATACACACAGTAATACTTTTAGCATTCCAAAAAAATATCTTGGACCTGTTATCTGTTATTAGAAAATACTACTGATATACTATTAACATTATTGATATTATTTGTCTTATTCTTAAATTTTTTCAAAAATCGTCCGAAAAAAGATAACAAATTTACATTAAAAATCCATTTATCTTTCAACCTTTCGCAAAGATAAATATAGATAAGTAAGGAAAAAAAAAACGTAAGATTTAACAAAGCTCTTTTGGGAATATCCAATGGTTATTATATATACGACATAAATGTGTATATTCTTTTTATTTGATCGGCATTTTCCCCGACTGCTTATTAGTCCCTATTATCATCACTTCGCTATCGCTTCTACGGAATCTCGCGACACGTTATCGACCAACAGCACGCTTAGCACACAATTGTCGAGGCTCGATTTTCCACCTGATCGTATTATTATCGCGCATCAATTTCGGGCGAGCTCGCTGCGATGCGATCTCATCGTCTGCCCGCGCGTGCATAATTCGCTGCAGCCACATCGCTATCGAGGTTGCCGCTCGATGCCACGTGGATAAACGCCGTACGTGTTCGTAAATATTCGCTCGTGGTAAATCGAATTCCCCCGCGTTACGTAACATCGAATTAAACGATATTTTCAGTTAACGAATTTTCAGTTAACGCCGAAGCATCGCATCTTTCAACATATCAATTACGAAATCATCTTTCTTAGTTTACATTTATTTTCATATTATAACAGAGAATAACACGGTATAATAATTTTAAACTTATAAGATTAAGATGTCTGGATTGACGTTTTATTATTTTTATTTTACTTTGATATTAACATCTCCAATATTTTAGAATATGTTAATAAAAATATCTTCATCGTAAAAAATAGATTATTATTTATTGAAGATAATGAAAAATATTAAAGTAGATTCTAGAACATAATAAAGCTTTAGTTTCGCAAACTTTAAAAAATAATATACCTATTGAAATTAGATTCTCTAGGAATTAATTCTACATATATTTATTTTATATATATAAGCAATATGTTCGACGAATGAACGACGTAGAAAGTTCACCGTTCGCGTACTTGGCAGCGCAATTGGAGATCCGGAAAAATTGTCGACCTACGTACGATCGTGGAAATCTCCGGCTCTTAAATTCGGATCGAGAAACTCGAGATAAGCGTCGCGATAAAGTATGAGCACAGAGACGAAACTCGAGAAGTAATAACTCCCTGAGGCGATCTCAATATTTGATTTCTATCGATGACACAAACGGGACGGGATTCTTGATAACATCGGCACGACACTACATTTCGCGAACGTATTTCTGGAACAAACATGTCGCCGTGTGTATCTCGTCGAAAAAGTAAGCATCCATCTTCGTATTCTGTTACGTCGATGAAGATCGCGGGAAAATATCGACGTGGAAAAATATGGTATTCCAATCGAAGGGTTCAAACACGAGGATACGCGCGATATTTTTCACGTAATTCTGTCTTGCACAGCACAATTTAACGACCATCATATTGAGAGCGTAAGTCTAGTTTTAAAACATTACTTGCTGTTTGAAGAACGCGACTGTATACAGATTGTGCGTTTGTTTTAACAAGATATTCGAAATTGTATCTACAACATTTTAAAAATAACATATACACTGAAAAAAAATTTACTAAATTTTAATAAATATTTATTTGAATAGTACTAAATATTCTAACTAAATATTTACTAAATGTAATATATATTAGGTGTTGGAATTAATTCGTAGCGTTTTACAAAGTATTTATAAGTTTTAAAAGTACTTTCATTAATGTATTTTTTAATGCTCATGTGAAATAAATAACATTCTTTCATTAAAAAACGCTACGAATTAATTCCAACACCTAATATATATTACATTTAGTAAATATTTAGTTAGAATATTTAGTACTATTCAAATAAATATTTATTAAAATTTAGTAAATTTTTTTTCAGTGTATATGTTATTTTTAAAATGTTGTAGATACAATTTCGAATATCTTGTTAAAACAAACGCACAATCTGTATACAGTCGCGTTCTTCAAACAGCAAGTAATGTTTTAAAACTAGACTTACGCTCTCAATATGATGGTCGTTAAATTGTGCTGTGCAAGACAGAATTACGTGAAAAATATCGCGCGTATCCTCGTGTTTGAACCCTTCGATTGGAATACCATATTTTTCCACGTCGATATTTTCCCGCGATCTTCATCGACGTAACAGAATACGAAGATGGATGCTTACTTTTTCGACGAGATACACACGGCGACATGTTTGTTCCAGAAATACGTTCGCGAAATGTAGTGTCGTGCCGATGTTATCAAGAATCCCGTCCCGTTTGTGTCATCGATAGAAATCAAATATTGAGATCGCCTCAGGGAGTTATTACTTCTCGAGTTTCGTCTCTGTGCTCATACTTTATCGCGACGCTTATCTCGAGTTTCTCGATCCGAATTTAAGAGCCGGAGATTTCCACGATCGTACGTAGGTCGACAATTTTTCCGGATCTCCAATTGCGCTGCCAAGTACGCGAACGGTGAACTTTCTACGTCGTTCATTCGTCGAACATATTGCTTTTAAATGTGATCATAGCGCCTAAGGCCAGGAAATAAGTTTTTACAAGACGTATATCTAATGTGTCCTCGCTAGTTTGAAATGAATAAGTAAATGTTTAAATACAATATTTGAAATTTAAATATATTATTAATTGTATTATTAATTATATTATTTAATATTAACGGATAAACTTTTTTGTTAACAATTTAAATATGTTTGTGGAACGAAACCATTAAATGTTTTAAAGAGCACAGCATGAATTCTCTGAATTTCTTGAAGTGAAATTTTACTCCAAAAAAAATAAAATACTGCTATTATTGAAAAAGAGTTGAAAAATTTACACTCTTAAACAAATTTTTACTCTTTTTTTTTTAGAGTGAGATTTATTCCAAAAAAAAAGAGATTTCTTTCCTTTGGAATGAATTTTTTACTCTTTTTTATTAGTGACAATATTTTGACTCGTTTGGAGTGAGATTTCAAGAAATTTAGAGAGCAAGATAAGATTTGTATCTTTTCGTGGAGTTTATCGATTTGTCATATATTTTTGTACTCATCGGATTGTTGATTTTTATGAAGCTATAACATTGTGTAATTTCGTCTTTAGTATCCTGCCAGTATTTCATATAAAACATCGCAATGACGTTTCAACGAGTCGCGGAAGGCACCGCATGACACTACGTAGGAAATAAGAACAATGCCATTGTACAACTGCGAAGTTAGAAT